ATCGAATGAGAAGTACCGGGATTAGACATAGTATGCTGCGTAAGTACGGCAAATTAGTCGATTAGGTATTAGATAATCACCAGTTGAGGTGGTTTGCACTAGCTACATATACCTGTAGACCGCTTCACCGACGGACGATGTTGTCTGGTGTAGGATTTGTATGGAGATGTACATCGTATTTAGCGTAAGTTGCCAGTAAAGACTTGATGCTGTGTGGAAGTTGGTTAAAAACTATGTTTATTTATTTATTTATTTAAACACATAAACGTTGGTACAAGGAGGAACCAAATAGATATGTGCCACATAAATCATTCGATTTGTGTGAGGGCTGGAATACTGCCTAGGTGCCCAAACCGAAGCAGGTGATTTCCTTAGGGTTCCACACACTGAGCCTTCGAATTAAAGGTCTGATCCACAAGGCAGTGGAGCAACGTAAGGAGATGCAGTCCTTGGTAGCCGGTGACCAAAGATTAGTTCATGCGCCATTTGTTCCCTCACTATACTGGAGCCCATGTGCACCATTGGTTTGGAATCAGGGTTTTCCAACTTCCCTAGGTGGATTTTCCGTATCCACCAACCTGGTAAAAGTGCCGGACATTTTATTTTCGTCCTCTCGATTTAATAAATAACTCCGCCTCAAGAAGGCAGTGTGTAGAACTTCCATGACGGCGGTTGTATGCACGTGGCCATATAAGAGCATTACGAAAAGGAGAGCTACGATTTTCCTCAAAGGTCACGACTATCTTCTTTTATTGTTACCTCCAATATCCTGACTACGACACTTGCGAGGATGATCGGTCTATAGTTTGCTGGGTGTTGTCTAGATTGTCTAGTAGATCTGAGTGACACATCTTTCTAGTGTGTTGGTGATGCACACTAGCTGAACGATATTCTGAAAATAGTTATGAGTGTGGCAGCTACATATATTACACGTTGTCTGGGTATTGAATAATGAAATGCATTTGGTCCTGTTGATCTGTTCATATCTCAAGAGCACATTCTGGTTGAAAGCAATGAGTAACTTGTTTAGGAAAAATACCGATGTTGTTTTTGGATGACGCATCATCTCTTAATCAGATTGTTTTTAATAATGTTCAGATTAAGTATGGTTTGAACATTAAATGTATTTGATCTATTAGGTTAGAATGCCATGTTGACTACACATTAATAAATAGCCTAAATTTAACTGGCAGACATTGTGAAATAATATTAGCAAACTATCATAATCTCATCTTTTACTGTTTTTTTATTATTAGATAACGGATTTTGTGACACATGTACGATGGCTGGAGCTTTTCAGCGGTGTCGTCAATCATTTCTTTCTGGTTATTTGTCAGATTTAGTGTATTGGCCTATATTGCAAACCATTAACTTCGCCCTTGTTCCTCCTGGATATCGTGTCTTATATGTCATATTTTTCACTAGTCTTTGGAACACTTATTTATGTTTCTTTAATGGTCGTATGGTAAGTATCGCAAAGTGTTTCCTTATATATTTCTTAGTTTCTCATCTGCGTAGTTATATGTATCATAAAACTAGTTTGTTCCAAGTGTTCTGTTATCAGTCGAACCTAAGTCGTCGCTGATTGTATATGAACACTATGAACGAATACTTTGATAGGAATCGGGCCGTGAGTTTTTTACAGGCAGTGTGTGTGAAGATTATGTTTAAAATAATTTTAGAATGTATAACAACCTTATTACTCGAAAAATTGTAATGCGATATAATATAACAAGTTCTCCATTGGCCAGTCAGCTACAACGTAGGACCAGACACATATATGCATCGGTCCAGGTTGCCATACCTCATTAGCACAACAAGATGGATACCGGATTCATAGGAGTGGTTAAGTCAATGGTGGTAATATATAAAAAAATGATTGCGTATAACGATATAATACAAGAAGAAAGATATGAAGTGATTTTAATCTCTTAGTTTAAGGGAAGACAAAGAGTGTATACACCTACGCCATTGTGATCGATTCTGATCCATGTCATAAAGAGTCTCCAACCATTGGGTACGATAGTCAAGCAGACCCCAACCACGTAGTCTGCATCTACCAAAAGGACTCAGACCAGATGTTAGTGTCTTCAAGAAGTGATGCCAGGTTTTGGTTAGGCCGCCCATAACTTTTTCCCGACCATCTCCAACACTGGTTAGAATTGCATGTCATGGTAATCGGTGTTTAGGCATACGTAACACGTGACACAACCATCTCAGTCGATGAAGATTCACAACCTCATCAACTGATTTACCATCATTCCTTAATACCGTGTGTCTGTGTAACCTCACTACTACTTACCCGATGATCCCATCAGATGCGAGCAATATTTCTAAGGCATCTGTGGTCAAATACTAGTAGCTTACGGGTATCTTCTACTCTTAAAGGCCATGTTTTGCTGCCGTAAATTAAAACAGAACGTACAGATCGTACAAAATACGATGGAGTAGAAAGAAAAACCTGCTTCTTACACTTACGTTTCAAAGGTGATGAAATTGCTGGAATAATTAATCACAGAATAAACTCCGCGTTGAAAGTCACCTACTCAGCAGCAAAACTTATGACAGTATGGCAAACGAACTGCTCACTTCAACAAACCAAAATCGACAAGCCCTCTTTCCTTAGTAGCTCCAACTGCATCTACCAATTCACATGTACGTGCCAAAGCACATACATTGGAAGAACTGAGAGAAGAGTGCATGTCCGCATTTCTGAGCATGTTCCAAAAAACTTGAGGCTTTCAACAGCGTAATAGCTCGTCATCTACTTGACACCGGACACACCATCGAGATTCCACACGCTTTCAAAATTAACAATAGACAAAGAAGTACGACCACCCTCCGTTTTGCTGAAGCCATCATGATAAAAAAACTCAAACCTGACTTATGCATCCAAAAAGAGACTTTAATTAACTTATCACCACCCTGGTAACCCCTTTTTATTTTATTATTTATTTATTTATACTCCTCCCCTATTACATAATTCTTAAACCACATTATCATTCACACATTTCCGCCACTTGATCCTCTTAAATTATCTTAACTTTTCAAATTCTATTTTATTACTATTATGTAACCTATCTTATAATTATTCAATTCCATTATTACACCACCCAACTCGAATTAATTCCTTTTGACCTCTGACCTGTTCTAGCATATATATATATATATATATATATATATATATATATATATATATATATATATATTTACAATTATTATTGTAACCCAGTTATTTACACTCATCTATGTCAATTGTTTTCACTATATCTCAATGTAAAAATTCTATCACAATTTTGGTTTGTAAGCAGCTGACGAGAAACCTCGAAATAATATGAATTCATACTATTCTGCACCATTATTTGTTCTTGCTTTAATTAAAACAGAACAAACTGCCGCTTAGTATACTCGTTCTTTAACTGATAGACGAATATCTTGCCTTCACCATAGGTTACATGAGTTGGCAAAAGCCAAACGGGGTTTTCGAATCCGTGCTGAGATTTCGTCGGACACCAACCCATTAGGGCTGATCAGACTTCCTAGATAAGTTAAGTTATCGACGCGTTCGACTACTTCACACCCTATCCTTAGTTCAGGTGTTGACGCAGGCCAGTCCTGAAGCAACAACTTGCATTTTAGGGGGAGAGGCGCACCCCAAACATTCTGGCATTTTTGCTCAGTGCTACCAAAAGACTCAGCGTCTTCACGAAACAGACTGTGTCACCAGCGTATTCTAATTCAATATGCAGACCTCCTAGTAGGAGATCAACTGAAAACTCAGTCTCCATTGAAAATCGCTCAATCAGCGATTCAGTAATCATTTGATACTTTCTGTCAGTGAGTTAAGTTGACTCCGTAATGTAAAATTTAGATAATATCGTCTTGCCATTGAGACTTACTATTCCCAGGCCTCACTCCATATCAGGTCGTAAATCCACACCACTGAGTTCCAAATAAAGATTGACTTGGTGCTTATTATTCTGTTGGTTAGGTTTTACAGGTCCTGTCATAACGATAGTTTAAATCATGCTTTAAGTGAATTTTCATTCTCCCTTTTTATTAACTGATATCGATTTCAGGGCCGCAGTGGTTCCGGGATCGAAAACAACCGATGAAGGGAAGATTACAACTGAGGAGGTTTAGCAAAATCCCATATTGTTTTTCATACATTATTCTAATTACAACTTTTGGCGTCAGGAGTTTGGCTGTTGTTCTATGACAATCACACTTCATTTTGTGTAATTTCTTATAGAACATCTCCTTGGTAAAATATCTGAATCATTTCAGGCTTCATGGAAAGACTGTTCACTCATTTTCATAATTATATTTATTTTCCTTTTCCGTCCGCACCTATATTTTTGGTGATACGATAAATTTTGATCGTTAGATTTATATTATCAACCGAACTATTCATCCTGTATTTTTACTTCCACTTTAAATTCATGCTAACTTTTTTCTTCTTAGAATTCTTCTAGAATTAAGTGCACCTAACCTACTTATATTATAAATTCATTTTTGCGTTTTGATTCTGTTTTATATACACTGAAAAATAGAATATTACTTCTTATTATTCTCATGTTATATTTGTAATATGAACGCCCAAGTTATACCAATGGTCAACAGTCTATATATGCTTCTATTTCAGTTCATTTAGATGTTAGGCGGTTGCTATGATGCCCAAAGATTCTGGATTCTTTCCCTTTTGGGGTTTGATGCGCTCTGCTGAAGAGTCTGATGCTAGGACAAAACCCTCCAGGCTTTCAGTGGTGGTTTAACTAAGAATAGTTTGTGGCATGCAATCGTATTAAAATTATGTAATCTCCACAAACCCTTACATTATTAAACAGGAAATTTAAAATGTTTTGTAATTATTAGTATTACCATAAGTTAAAAACACTGCTGCTCGTTTGAAACAAGTATTTATTTGAAAAGCTACCTATTATTGTCATTGTTAATGTAGATACATAAATAAACACATATCTGAAATAGATTTATTTGTACTTAATTTATCTCAAGTGTTATTCATAACCAGAATAGTGAAAAAAGCTATAACAGGATATTATTTACTGATATAGATTGCATTATTATTGATATTTTTATAAACTGAAAAAAACTTTATGGTTAATTATATCACATCAAATAGTTACACATTATTTTAACAAATGATTATTATAATTTTTAGTACGTATACAATTGGCAGGATATCATTTTTAATTACTTTTCCGTCTTCACCTCTGGTCAATCAGTCTTCTTGATTGTTAACTGATGGTTGAGTTCCACGTTTGCTCATATTGCTGGAATCAGTTGAATATCTTGGTAAAGTTGGATTATCCTAAGGAAAAAAAAATTCAAGAAACTAAGGTTTTAGATTATTTTCTCTAATTACTATTATCAGTCAGTCAGCTACAACGTAGGACCAGACACATATATGCATCGGTCCAGGTTGCCATACCTCATTAGCACAGCAAGATGGACACCGGATTCATAGGAGTGGTTAAGTCAATGGTGTTAATATATAAAAAAATGATTGCGTGTAACGATATAATACAAGAAGAAAGAATAAGTTCGTAGAAAGAAAGATATGAAGTGATTTTAATCTCTTAGTTTAAGAGAAGACAGGTAGTGTATGCACCGACGCCATTGTGATCGATTCTGATCCATGTCACCAAGAGTCTCCAACCATCGGTTACGAAAGTCACGCGGACCCCAACCACGTAGTCTGCATCTACCAACATGGCTCAGACTAGAAGTTAGTGACTTCAAGCACTGATGCCACGTTTTGGTTTGGCCGCCTCTAATTTTCTTCCAACCATCTCTAAAACCCGTTAGCATTGCACGTCGTGGTAATCGGTGTTCAGGCATACGTAACACGGCCGAACCATCTCATTCGACGAAGATTCACAACCTCATCAACTGATTTAACATCATTTCCTAATACCCTGCGTCTAACCTCACTATTACTTACCCGGTGATCCCGACAGACGCCAGCAATATTTCTTAGGCATCTGTGGTCAAATACTAGTAGCTTGCGGGTGTCTTCTAATCCTAAAGGCCATGTTTTGCTGCCGTAAATTAAAACAGAATGGACTGCTGCTTAGTATACTCGTCCTTTTATTGATAGACGAATATCTTGCCTTCACCATAGGTTACATGAGTTGGCAAAAGCCAAACGGGGTTTTCGAATCCGTGCTGAGATTTCGTCGGACACCAACCCATTAGGGCTGATCAGACTTCCTAGATAAGTTAAGTTATCGACGCGTTCGACTACTTCACACCCTATCCTTAGTTCAGGTGTTGACGCAGGCTAGTCCTGAAGCAACAACTTGCATTTTAGGTGGAGAGGCGCACCCCAAACATTCTGGCATTTTTGCTCAGTGCTACCAAAAGACTCAGCGTCTTCACGAAACAGACTGTGTCACCAGCGTATTCTAATTCAATATGCAGACCTCCTAGTAGTAGATCAATATCCGAGAATTCAGTCGACGGGAATGTTATTTCCATCAGTATATCTCTGATGAAATTAAACAAAAATGGAGAAAGTGGACAGCCTTGAAGGACACCACTTGAGGTTGCAAAAGCAGATGACAGTTCGTTATAAGCTCTGACTCGACTATTAGTGTTCGAGTTAAGAGCCTTCACAAGGTTTATGTACTCCTGAGGCACGCTTTTCAATGACAGACACTGCCATATAATCTCGCGGTCTACGAACTCAAATGCTGCTTATAAGTCTAGAAAGACCACCATCGTCGGACGCCGATAAGTATGCCTGTGTTCTAGAACCTGACGAATGGTGAATATGTGGTCTATGCAGCCACGACCAGGTCTGAAGCCAGCTTGGTTTTCTCGTGTTTGCAGTTCACGAGTCTTAGGTGTCCGACAATTATCGAGGCTGGTATTTTAGATACTGTATTAGTTAAACTTACCCCTCTATGGTTGTCATAGGATCATTTTGAACCTCTCTTATATATTGGGACGATAAGTGATTGTGACCATTTTAATGAGATAACGTCGAACTCCCAGATTTTAGCTAAACTACTAGTCAACCTAATCGCTAAAATTGGATCACCATCCTTAAATACCTCTGGAGCCAGTCCATATGGACCAGCTGCCCTTTCTTGTTTCAGATTAACTATAGCCTTCTAAACTCCAGCTAGAGTTGGGTACCTACTTCAATTTTCCATCCACACTGTCTTGGAATGTTGGGTGATTGTAGAGTAGCTGAACTGCTCCTTAAAATGTTCCGCTTATCGTTCTAAACCTTTGAGCTACAGACAGATAAGAGTGTCGTCCGAAATAGTCTCATTTACACTTGACTTATTAATTCCAGTTTCTTTTATTAGTCTGTAGAGCTCTCTTGTGTTCCCTGTACCTGTCGCTTTTTCCATGTCTTTTGATTTCGTTGCCCACCAATGCTCACGGTCGTTCCTTAGACTTTTGGTTAACCTAGATCTGATTTGCTTACTCTCTTCATCGTGTTCAGAACCTGATGGGACAAGTTTGCGCGAATCCATCAGTGAAATAAACCTTGAAGAAATCCATTGGTTCTTTGTAACCCTGTGGATTAAATCACTGGTAGATTTCACTGCTGTTTCCACAGCTGCTTGTATATCTTTCCAAGCCTCGTTTTCAGAACTACCTAAGTGTGACCTCAGTTGTTCCTGGAACCTACTTTTGGTTTTCTCGCTACTCAATTCAGTTCTAATGGGTCTTTTTATTGTGGCTTTTTTGCATCCAGTGAGGCGCAAGCAGATGAGTACCCGTATTAGGGCATGGTCGGAGTCCAAGCAGGTACTCCAGAATGAGCGACAATCTTCTACCGACCCTCTCCAACGATGACTGATGGCAATATGGTCTATTTGAGTCCATCGTTGGTTTGGTGTAGGGGGTCGCCATGTTAGACGATGTCTTTCCCTATGCTTAAAATTTGTGTTTGCTAAAAATAAACGATTGTCTGAGCATAGTTGCAGCAGACGATCACCATTGTCTGTTCGTTGTGCCGTAATACTAATATACCAACCTAAATGTCTTTCTGTTTGGTTTAAACTACCTATCTGGGCATTAAAGTCACCTGCTACGAGTACTATGTCTGAACGTTTAGCTTTCTGAAGAAGTTCAGATAGCTTTCTGTAAAATTCATCTCTCACTTCCTCCTGGCTGCATTCAGTGGGAGCGTATGCAGAATTACTATTATATATATGTCACTTTTAGCTGCATCTTAATGTGTCAATTATATAATTGAAACCTAGAAGTCACGACTTCACATTAGAATGTTGGAAGTCTATCACAAGACTTGTTATTAATTTGCACAATATTGTCATTTGGTTGATCAGTTTGTAAGAATTAGTTTAATTTGAAGTGAGTTATGATGTTATGGTGTGAGCTCACGTCGTTGATGAGTTCCAAATATGGACGAAACAGGTATAATTTGTTATTTTTAATTACTATTTCTTAAACTGATTTTAGTCTGTGACAAAAGAATCTCCAATCATCGGATGTGTTGAAGTGTTCCTTATACCTACTATCATAATATTAGAAAATTTATAATTTTGCTAATAGATCAAGTAACATCTTTTGTGACTAACTTAATCCAATGCACCCTAAATCCAAGATTGTCCATCATCTTTTTGATCATTTTAATTATATATAGTTCACTATTGCGCATAATTTTGTTTCAATAATTTAATTAATTTAATTTTCCGATAAATATCGATTTTTGCATTGTTTAAGGTGATGGATATGTAAACTCAAGTCTCAACTTGAAAAACGTTTAGAAGCACCTTAAACAAAAACTATTTTAAATATTTTATAACTTATGACATCTACTAGTGAGCCAGTTATTACTTTCGGAGACGTACATATTTTTTCTAGTGAATACTATCTAAATATAATCTGCAAGAAATCCCGAACCTGAATTTTGTAATGGCTAACACTTAACAATAAAGTTTATCTTCGCTCCTGTAAAAAAAATATTTGTCATGAGATTCAAATCAAATTTACCTAGTACTTTAGTAGCAAAATTTATCACTAAGCTATTCTGGTTACAACTGACTTTCTGTTGGACTTAGAAATTTATATTGATTGCTCATCTAAATAAATAATAAATAATATTTTTATCAGAATGGGTTTTGTGGAGATTTTTAGAAATTTCACAAGTTGAAATCATGAGTCAGTTGAAGCTAGACCACCATTGAAAACCTGGAAGCACTGGACGGCCGTTTCGTCCTGGTATGGGACTCCTCAGCAGTGCGCATCCACGAACCCGCCCCCCGCTGGATTCGAACGCAGGACCTACTGGCTTCGCGCGCGAGCACTTAACTATTAGACCACTGAGCCGGCATTTGACGTTGTTAATGTCTAACTTCAACCAATCCACGAAGTTGCGCCACCGTACACCATTGTCTTCAATGAGTTCCTATCTCACAACAGACCTGGTTGAACTCTACTGGTAACGACTTCCAACGAACCCGCCCCCCGCGGGTTCGTGAATGCACACTGCTGAGGAGTCCCATACTAGGACGAAACGGCCGTCCAGTGCTTCCAGGTTTTCCATGGTGGTCTAGCTTCAATTGGCTCATGATTTCAACTTGTGAAATATTATTTTGTTATCTGTTCGTTAGTACATAGCGAGTGCTATGAATAATGGAGCATAGAATTGTTTACTACTAAATAGTCATTTAGTTTTAGACAAAATGACTTGCCATTTCCTATCCTTACTATTGATTGAATAAGAAAAGTGTATACGTAATGTTCAAGTCATAAGGTTAATCGGTTAATAAATATAAAAAATAAGCAAGTAATTAGTTATATTTCTTAGTGAAAGCTGCTAACTCATGACCAAACATCAACTTCGTTGATTATGAAAAATACATTTAACAGCATCAGTGTGAGGAAATTATGGAACTTTCTACTTTTCGGTGCATCTGAAACTTTCGTCACCATATGGAATTCTTACGACATTTTTTGTACCATAGTTTTCATTATGTAACGTTCATGTTATTTTCGTCAACAAGTCATAGACCTTGATTTTAAAATTACCATCAATCTATGCGATAGCTCACGGAGTAGATAAATAAGATGGCATTGCCTTTAAATTCATTAAAACAATATAGCTGTATCAATCTACATCTTAATGTTGTTTAAATACTGAATACAAAGTCAAGACCTTGTGTGATCTAACCTTAAAAATAATGATAATTCAATTAATCAAACTTGACAAAATGATTTTTATGTTTATAGTGTGGCGCTTTATACGATTGGCTAATTTGAAACTATGGTCTATAAGAAATATTGCGATTTCTCATGAAATCAATATTATACAAACATTGATTAAAATAAATTTCATCCACGTCATATGAAGCCTAGTTGACGAAATGTATCTGAGATAAATGTGGATACTGAACAAAACTCGGGAAATAATAATCATAACTGATTTTGACGGACAATGATTACTTTTAGATTACAGACAGCGACCAAGTAGCAAGAAAATTTACCTTAGCATAAATCATGGGCCCTAAGGATGTGCACTGCTGAGAAGTCCTACACCATGACGAAACGGCCATCCAAAGCTTCCAGGTTTTCACTGATTGTCCTACTTAGATATTCTCATGTTTTCAACGAAATTTAACAATCTCTACAATCGTTTATTTACTCCTATTACGCCTCGCGAAGAAGGATAAGCAGCCCACCAGCGCTGTCCACAGAACTCTGTCCTGGACAATCCTTTCCAGTTGCTATTTATCCTAACTGATTCTGGCTGACAGTTGCTCTGAGTTCCATATGTCCTCCAACTATAGGAATGCTGCCCATGCTTTGCCGATTCTCGCCTTTATGTCTGCATCCGATCCACCACGTTCATCGATGATGCTAACCAGATATGTGAAACTTTCCACCTCTTCCAGAATTTATCCATCAGGTGTGACTCTGTTGGTGTTTTCCATCTTGTATTGAGGATCTTGTTTTTTCATTTGTGTATGTTGAGGCCTCCTGATGCAGAGACTGTTGCTACACTGGATGCTTGATCTGCATTTGTTTGGGTGTATGGGATAGAAGGGCTAGGCTATCTGCGAAGTTCGAATCTTCTAGTTGCATCGAGCCTGTTCATTGTATACCGTGCTTCCCCTCAGATGTGGTGGTCTTCATAATCGAGTCAACCGTCTGAAGATAAATGAAGAGCGATAGTTAGAAGCCTTGTGTGACCCCAGACCTCACTTGGAATGCGGTGGTCAGCTTTTCTCCATGCACGACTTCGCAATGTAGTCCGCCATAAGAATTCCGAATCATGTCGACGATTTTCTCTGACACACTACAATGTCGAACAAGTTCCCATTAAGCTCTTCTATCCCCCTTTGTCAAAAGCTTTCCCAAAGTTAAATTGATGTACAGTGACGAATTCCTTTCGTTTGACTGTTCAGCAATGATCTATAGTATCGCGATTTGGTCTGTGCACAACCGTTCTTTACGGAATCTGGTCTGCTGATCTCGCACTTAAGCGTTTATTGAATTGTTCACTCCGATCGCCAACATTCTATTGAAAACGTTTCCTGGTACCGATGCTAGTGTTATGTCTACGTAGTTTTCACATTTGTTCAGATCTGTCTTCGATATCTTGATGAGGTATCGTTCTTTCCAGTTTGTCGGCACTTGTTCCTCCTCCCAAATCTTTCACAATCTTTTGCTGTCAATAAATCTTAGTGTTTATTTTGATTAGGAAAAATGAAACTAGGATCATGACCATGAAAAAGAACTTACAAGCTATTTCCGAACATAGATATATATAGTTACGTATAGCGCTTCTCGAATGCAAAAAGCATGTATTTATAAAACTTTGGTGGATTGGTCTTGGTACTATTAACAGTATCGGACGATGAGTCTTTTGGTGCTCAGTTATGGTCAACTACGTGATGTAAAGTAAGAGATTTGATTGAATCTTTGTTGTGTTGACCTAATCAGACATTGTCCTTCATATGTCACCCTCAAATTTTATTTTTAAATCGATTATTTGTTTAATATATTCTAGTCAAATGTGAAGATTCACCAATAAATCAATCACTAGGTACTAAAGCTCCTCTTTTATGCTCTCTTCTCAAGTCTTTACTGATTGTAAGGTTAGAGAATGAGTCGCATTTCGCTTTCTGTTTATAGAGCCAACACAGTTCTCTCTCAATTACATGTAAATATTTAATTCATAGATCAATTAGAAATTTTTCCGGCTTCTTTTCATCAACGGAATACCATACAGAGGTGAATTTTACGTACAGATGACGTTTGGCTATTTACTTCATCTTATTTTCAACCTCCTAGTGTTCTCCACATATGAATAACACACCATTAGCTCTAATTGAGAACATAGAAGTAGAAAAGTCGACCCATGTCTAAAGTTGAGGTATGTAATATTCGTTTTTTTTTACAGATTCATAGAAAATTATAGATCCAATTGTTTTAGAAATTTCATGTAATTTCACTGTGGTAAACTGGTTTATTTTCACATCTTTAAAATCATATGTGAGTTGTCTTTCAGTTATGTCAGATTTATTTCTATCGATTTCATGTCTTATGAATTTTAAATCAACTGAATTTGGTTACTGCAATATTCAAGATTTGTTTCCACAATACGATCATCTGACTAAGTGTATGAAATAATTTCATTTCTGTTTACTCTATTGAACTGTGTAAATTTTCGACATAATGATGTCAAGAATGTAAATCTGATTAGATGTACTACTGGTATCAATTTAAGTAACTTATAGTTTAACACAAACATATATCGTCATAGACTATATTACATATCTGGATAAACAACAAAGAAGGCTTGCCATTTCGTTGAAATAATTCATCTTTATCTGAATTATTAAGGTGATAGCACTTTTAAATGAAAAATTTGGTGAGTATAATCGTATAATTATACATTACATTAATATACATTGATGACATTATATTTTAATAAATGAGACAATGAGAAAATAAAATAAAACCTATTGTGCTTACATCATCTGTGTCGATATCATCTAATGTCCAACAACAATATGTGCCAAGAAATATCCAAGCTGATATAAAACATAAAATGGTAGCAAGCCATAATAAAATGTATCCAGAACCATAATCAATAGATGTTGTTGTACGTTGTTTCTATTTTCAATTACATGGTATGATGTAATAGATAAAAAAAAAGAAGAAAATAAACTTAACATAAAAAAAATTGTTAAAACATAAAAGTGATTCTGATTATAAGTTAACAATCAATGGAAGTTATCCAGAACTAAAATATTCAGTTAACATTCATAAATCAATAACAAGTCATTGATAGATGTAGACTGCATTGTTTTAATCAGATACATAGGCAAATATAGATCTCCTATTTCTATATTTATTTATTATCAAAGTTCATAGTAAGTTATTTACGACTTTACTAGAATGCTAATTTATCAACATCAGGTGTATCATAACAAGTTGTCTGGAATGATAAGCACTTCTTTCTATCTACATAAGTATTGTTGAGATGTTTTAGCGTTTAGTATGCAAGAGAATTTATTGTAACAAGTGAAATGTTTATCATCTTTGTCAAACAATAAAATGTATTTTTACACTAATCTTAGTTATCACAATGCTTTCATTGTCAGTTAGCCAATTGAAATTGAATACAATGTTGTATACAATCTGAAAGTTTATTTTTATACAATAAATATGTGTTAGTCACTTGATTTTCCTTCAAGGTTAATAGGTACAATGAACATTCCTTATACTGACTTTCTAAGAATTCCTAAACTCCCTTAATCTTTAATACGTGAACTATAAATGGGGAACAATTAAGAACTTTGAAAGAAGCTTTGATTTGAAACTGATATTATATACAAAAACAAGAACATTCATTAGATTATTGGATATTTAGTTACTTCAGAATCATTGAGAAGAATTATTACAATTGATAGTCAATTAAATTATCATATATTACTTCATTTGGAAAACGACTGGAAAACATTAAGTACTAAACAGTATCACATCGTTTTAAACTTCAAAAACGTCCAAACCTATGATCTCATTTTTAAGATAGAGAACTGGTTGATATAAAAATATATCGTTCTTTTTTCGTAAGTTAAATCTAAAGGGAGGTTTCTAATCTAACATGATTAGTAAATACATGCTTTAATAGATATGTCATGCTGTAGAATATCATAATCAATATGTTCGTTACTTGAACCACTATCTGGATTCCTTAAATAATTGTAATTTTGAGCTCTGAATAGTAGTAAAAAGACATATGACAAGATTAGAAGCCTCATTTCAAAGTCAAATGATATGCAAATACTGACTTATTTACAGGTTTCTGAAAATTCAGTAAGTTTAGCAGTAAAATAAATAGTTATCCAACAAAATTATAACATGCAATCATTGATTTTTCAGAATGTTTCTGCAAAGCATCTACTGGCTACTGATTGTGTGAGATATTTTCAGCCATTTTCTAGTTTTTGGAGACCATATTGAAGAATTATGGGTATATTATAACAATAACAAGACTACATGAAATGCATCCATGATAAATAATGAAGTATTGCCCTTATTAAAATAAACTATAAAGAACAATCACATTTAGTTTGAAATATGAACGGGATTCCTTACTTCAGACCATTGATTAAATCCATATGGGTATCCAGATGATTTACCGTATTTATCTTCAAATTGTTCAACATGAAACATTATTATTGAACTTTGAAGACAAAATCCTTTATAAAACATTTTTAAAAAAATAAAAAAAGTTCTCGAAATATATCGCTGTCGCTGTTATAATGAATAATATTTACCAATTTTATAAATAATGAGAATAACAAAGCAAGACAAGTCAATATGATTGTAAGCGAATACAATAATTTTTTGATTGAGATTATGAATCGATTGATGTTAGACCACCATTGAAAACCTGGAAGCACTAGACGGCCCTTTCGTCTTATTGCGGGACTCCTCAGCAGTACGAACCCACGATCCCGCTCGCGGGATTCGAACATAGGGCTTTTAGTCTCGTGCGCGAACGCTTAACCTACTGGACCACTGAGCTGGCATTCCATGGTGTTAATATCTAACATCAACCAATTCACGAAATTGTGCGACCATCTTCCATTGTACTGAGGCATATATTTGTCTCTACCCGACACGGATTAGCTCCACTGGTCACGGCTTCTCATTAGAAATCCGAGAATCCCGTCACGAAGCTAGTCACCAGTGAGAACATGTTAATTACCAGTATCCCGCGAGCTGGATCGTGAATGCGCATTGCTGAGGAATTCCACAGTAGAACGAAACGGCCATCCAGTGCTTCCAGGTTCTCAATAGTGGTTTAACATCAATCGGTTCATGATCTCAATCAAAAGCTTAGTAATATCAACAACCCCTATACTGGTTATACAATAATTAATAATGCAACTCCTTTTACAAGTAAGATCTATCATGCTATGATTTGAACCGAAACAACTTTCCGTCATACTATATTACACAGCTGCTTAAACTTAATGAGCAGGGCGGATTTCAAATCTTCAAGTTTTAATAAGTGAATATTTCAAAAAATAAGTCATCAATTCAAGGTTATTATATTGGTTGACAGCGTGGACAGGACAACACTATGGAAGCTGCTTCGACACTACGACGTGCCTCAGAAGGTAGTCAATATCATACAGAATTCATATGATGGATTACACTGAAAAATCGTGCATGGAGGACAGTTGACAAAGTCGTTCAAAATAAAGACCGGTGTCAGGCAAGGTTGCTTACTCTCACACTTTCTCTTTCCCCTGGTGATCCACTGGGTCATGAAGACGTCAACACCTGAAAGGAAACACGGGATACAATGGACATCTAAGATGCAGTTGGACGATCTGGACTTCGCAGATGATCTGGCCCTTCTATCCCAAACGCAACAACAAATGCAGGAGAAGATGACCAGTGTAGCAGCAGCCTCAGCAGCAGTAGGTCTCAATATACACAAAGGGAAGAGCAAGGTTCTCCGATACAACACAGCATGCACCGATCCAATCACAATTGACAGAGAAGATTTGGAAGATGTAAAAACCCTTACATATCTGGGCAGCATCATTGATGAACATGGTGGATCTGATGTAGATGTGAAGGCGCGTATCGGCAAAGCAAGAGCAGTATATTTACAACTGAGGAACATCTGGAACTCAAAACAACTGTCAACCAACTCCAAGGTCAGGATTTTCGATACAAATGTCGAGACAGTTCTACTGTATGGGGCGGAAACCTGGAGAACTACGAAAGCCATCATCCAGAAGATACAGGTGTTTATTAACAGTTGTCTACGCAAAATACTTCAGATCCGTTGGCCGGACACTATTAGCAACAACGTACTGTGGGAGAGAACAAACCAGATCCCAGCGGAGGGAGAAATCAGGAAGAAGCGCTGGAAGTGGATAGGACACAAATTAGGGAAAACACCCAACTGTGTCACAAGACAAGCCCTCACATGGAATCCTCAAGGCCAAAGGAGGAGAGGAAGACCAAAGAGCACATTACGCCGGAAAATGGAAATAGACATGTGAAAAATGAACAAGAATTGGATGGAACTAGAAAAGAAGGTTCAGGACAGATTGGGTTGGAGAATGCTGGTCGACGGCCTATGCTCCATTGGGAGTAACAGGCGTAAGTAAGTAAGTAAGTAATGTTGGTTTTCACTGCAATATACTCATTCATGTTAAAACTCTCAAAGAGTAAACAACAAAAGAACATAGAAATAAAGTGAATAAAATAAGAAAGGAGGTGTAAGATACCGACCGTAACACAATATTTTTTTAGATTTTGAAATCTTGAATCAGAAGTGTCTGAAAACAATGACATTATTCTTAGTAAAGTAAAAATAAGTAAATTTCAGACATCAAAATCATTTCACTATCGATTCCTGTATTAATTCCACTTAATTTTTATCTAAGCTTTCCAGAGGATATCACTCAGAAAATACACTCTTTCTCATATGATTCCACTCATTGTGTAATGACTATAGGAATTTGTTGATTAGTAGTGCATCAGTGCTGGAAGTCATTAACTTATAGTCTGAGCCATATTGGTAAATGCAGACTACTTGGTTGGGGTCCGCATGACTATCGTAACAAATGTTTGGAGACTATGTGACATGGCTCAGAATCGATCAAAATGGCGTAGGTTTGTATACACTCGTTGTCTTCCTTTAAAGTATGAGATTAAAATCGCTTCATATCTTTCTTTCTACAAACTAATTATTTCTTCCTGTACTATGTCTTTGTATGCAATCTTTCTTTTATATACTACCATTACCACTGATTTAACTAGTTCTATGAATTCGGTGTTCATCTTGTTGTGCTAATGAAATGTGGCAACTTGAACCGACGCACATATGTGCCTGGTGCTATATTGTAGCTCACTGACTGACTGATAATAATAATGCTTAAATTATACTCATTTTCATCTCTGCCTTACTTTGAATCACTATGAAATATCGAGGTTATCTACTTCATTCAGTTTAAGCCATTCTAGCTTCATTATAGAAGCAGTTCAATTAAATATCAAATTCTCAGTATTAATTGAAAGATTCAACTAACTTGTTTCGAATACATTTTTAACATCAAAACAGTTTCCGTAAGATTGGACCTTCTGCCGACTTTAGATCACAGTAGTTATCAGTAAATCTCTCTCTATATATCTCCAGCTACTTGTCGTAATTATTCATGTTATGTATATGAATCTTAAGTACTCAAAAATAGTAGGTCACTTATAAAATTCGACATAACATATCACAACCTAAAATTTCTCTTCAAACTATATAATTCATGACGGTTACCAGCTTATCAGAATGTATGAGTTTCTTGTCTTCATAATGATGTTTTCTGTGCAGAGATTATTTTTTTTTAATTTTTATTCAAGAAGGAGAAAAATTACATTTACTTGGCATTGAATTGGAATGAAATCAACTTTAAAATAAAACAGTATTATATTTCAGTGGTTGAGATCATGAGTCAGTTGAAGCTAGACCACTATGGAAGGCCTGGAAGCACTGGACGGCCGTTTCCTCCTATTGTGGGACTACTCAGTAGTGTGCATCCACGATCTCGCTCCTTACGAGATTCGAACCAGCTCAGTGGTCTAGTGGTTAAGCACTCGCACGCGGGACCGATAGGTTCTGGGTTCGAATCTCGTGGTGGGCGAGATCGTGGGTGCGCACTGCTGAGTAGTCCAACAATAGGACGAAATGGTTGTCCAGTGCTTTCAGGTTTTCAATAGTGTTCTAGCTCCAACTGACTCATGATCTCAACCATTCAAATTACTATAATATCTACAAAACTCTTTCTAATATTATATTTCTTTATTTTGTTTAACTTACCAGCTAACATAAGAAATATCCCTATAATTAATCGCCAATTTCTGAAACATTTATTATCTTTATTCTTTTTATACCAAACAATGATCAATGCAAGAGCAGCAATAAAACAAATACACATGATAATTATTGCTATTGAATGCATAGCCAATTCAGCAAGACGCAGATCTATAGATGTGAATGTTTAAAATATTCAGAAAATAATAAAAAAGGGAAAAAAGTATTATCCTTCAATGAAATATAATGAGTGTTTTTAATGAAGATTACAGATAATTGTATGGTATTTCACATATTTCTTTGTAATCCTAATTCTTTGCATTCTAATGGTTGCTTTCAAAATTATATTTATTTTTATGTTTTTTTTAATGACATAGGAATCTTAAACGAACTTTTAGTTCTACTGAAGACATATCTACTTGGTGTACCTGAATCTTAGTGATGAAGTTTACATTGGGTCTCAAACGAAGTATGTTTTGCTTTAAATCACCAACACTTTATCTACTGAGTTACTGAGTTCATATAATCAGTGGCTTTTGTTATGGGTATTAAATTTCTTAAACTTTTACAAACATCATTGTTATTATTCTGATTTCAATTTTTTTTAAATTTCCTTGTGATATAACTTTACTGGAGAGTGTGTTATACTGGACTAATAAATATTTCTGTCAGATCTCATACTTATCATAACTGACTGACTTATTCATGATCTATGTAATAACGACTTCTTTTGGGCTAAATTTCGCTCCCTGAGTTGAACGGTTTGATAACGAGTCCTTTATTGTGCTGCTAGATGACATGGTCAGTACGAACTTCAGATAGATGTGAACTATTGAAGTTTTTCCAAATATGACTCATAGCTTGTTCTGTCGGCCTCTGATCAGTTGTTTCTGACTCTCCTCATGTCATTGCCTGCATGTTTACTTTGATTATCTTAACATTTGACCTTCATGATTAAACAACCCAGTTTAGAGAACAAAAATCCACTAAGTTCATCCATCTGAGCTAGAAGTCTTCCCGATCACCTAAAAATGATGATTTTTTATTGAGAAGTTTTCTTGTTATCTTTACTTTGTGTTATTGAGCAGGTTCTTCGTTTACTTTGTCGTAACGAGTGTTTTACCCCATTCTTTAATAATACTTTCTTATTATACATGCTACTTTTCAGTTGGTAAAATCTCCGAAACCAGTCTACTTTTTATCTTTCTTCAGTGGTTGTATTGATGACAATGATTAAGTTATTATCTAGGAGTCGAATTAATGGAAACCATCCAAAAAGCATTGCGACTATAGGTCCAGCAAACTCTCGATTATTCTACCATGAGATCAAATTTTGAATTTACAAGACGTGGATGAAATAGCTTTTTTAATGAAGACTCTGAGAAAAGTACAGATTCTTCTGACTCCTTTAAGCAACAATATGAGTATTTTTGGAATGAGATTCTCCATCTTTAATTACGAAATCCTGCCTCAGGACTGCTATTTGTCAGCTTTCGCATCAAAGATGGGGGCGAATTAGGTGAGTGGGTCTATCACTTTACTTATCTGCGATTATACGCAATGCACTATATAAATATAAAATCGATTGATGAAGTGTTAAAACCTCATCGACTGAGGTGGTTAGCACGTGTTACGTATACCTGAACACCATCTACCTCGACTGGCGTTGTTGTCTGTTGTCGAAATGATATGTGAGTAAACCAAACCTAAAAATTGTGTTAGTCTATAAGGTCATCAACATTTGAACTAGGGTGAAACGGCCGTCGAGCGATTTTAGGTTTTCAGTTGTGGTCTAGTTTAAATCATCTCGTGGTCTCAATAACAAAATCACTTCATTACATTTTATACCTGCAAAATGGTGAAGGAAAAAGAGGCAACAAATACAGTTCTCGTTACAATACAAACAAAAGTTTCTGTAAAACACCACATCGTATAAAGTGGATGTACATTTGACCTATACATTCACGAACGGAAATTACAGGCCATATTTTATCACATTAATTGATGGATGTATATGAAAATATGTGTATGTATGTATAACGAAGGTAATAAATTTGATTAGGCAATATTAAAATATTGGTTTTAAAAAAATCAAGAGAATGTTTTAGAAGTTTGGTACTTGTATCTGTCGGTATTTGATAAACCTATAGATGTGACAGTTATGTTATACAATATACTCTTGTGGGCCAGAATAATTTTACATTGGTTTTCAGAAGAAGCAGACACCATGCAGACTTTCACATGACAACCCAAACAGTACAGGTCAATCCCGTTTAACAGGAGAGCCTGATACCGCCCAGGCTTATATTTTATAACTCGAGCAATACAGCTCAATCCCGCTTCACAGGACAACTAGTCATCGTATAGGCTTTAACGCCACAATCTGAGTAGTACAGCTCAATCCTGTGACGCACAGGTTCCAAGAACCCTGGAGGACCATTTGCACCATTCATATACACATTCACGTCACATGTATAGTTATTCCGATCAATGATCGCGTGAATCAATTATGCACAGCACGAACAGGACAAAATTGACCTATTCTGTTTACGCGACAGTCAAACTCATTAATGTTAGCAATGGCGACATGCCTTACAATGTCCCAATCACAATGGCTCTTGAAAACATTGAAAATCAACCACCAGTATGAATGAAATCGGTTAACCAGCAAACTAATTCTGTGCATGAATAGTCAGCAAAACTTGCCAAAGCAATGCCGAACCATCTACAATACCAATGACGAACCTCCAGTCTCATATGAGACCTTCAGCTCTATATAGCCATATAGATGCGACTCAAACGTTTTAATTAATAATGATAAAATAAATCAATTAATTAGTCACAAATTAAATTTATACAACAATCAATGTAAAATTTGATGCATAGAATGATAACAAGCTATTGAAGTTGATCAGTATCAATATCAATATCTTAAACATCAAATATTTTAGAAAAAAAAAAGAAGAGGCTACAATTATCATTGATTATACTTATTCATTGTATTATAATAGTAATCATTATATTTATATTCAGATTAAGTTGGGTAATTGAAGAAAAAAGAAAGAAACAATTACATTCTAATTATGAATAAATGAATTAATATTGTAACATACTTGTCATTAATGCTGAATATTCATCTACATAACTTGGATCACGGTTCTGGCATGTGTTATCTGTATAATAATAATAATAATAATAATAATAATAATAATACCTTTATTAAATAGACAATATTCTGAATATTATAAATTATTTATACAGTATATAAGAATGTTATGTAATATGACCATCTTAATTCTTCTTTAATCATTCCTATTGAATATAAATTGTATTAGTTGTATTGAAAATACTTCAATTGATAAAGGATTTCGTCGTTGTTGTTGTTGTTGTTGTTGTTGAAAATTGATATTCACAAACAATCTTATGACATAATAATCAACTTGATTTCTTTAAGCATCGATATATATTCTCATAAGTAGTATTATTGTATAATGTTATTATTTAAAATAAATTACATTTGTACAATTATATCAACTTTAATTTATTAACAGTATAAAGTTGTGAAGATTATTAAGCTTTTGATTAAGATCATGAATTGATTGATGTTAGATCATCATTGAAAAAGATCGTCTAGTGATTTCAAGTTTTCAATGATGGTCTAATATCAATCGATTCATGATCTTAAAAAAATTTCGTTTATTAATACATGTGAATAGGTGGTATCATTCATTGGGGTTTTTCTTTCTCTGTTAGCAACAGTTGTTCATTGTTTGATTAGTTAAACTCCACAATGTTTCATAAGAAATTTTTTGTAGTAATATGCATATATTAAGCATTAATGATTAGTTGTTAGGTCAGTTTACATTATAAGGTAAATAAGAAAATTAATGATCAACGTATTTATTCTTTAAAAGTTTTAATTATAACCCTTAAAATCAATAATGAATATTTTAGTAATTCATTACTGGCTTTATCTATATTCTGAATTTTCTTGATTACCTACGGTTATTAGACTTGTTCTAAGAATTGTTCATTAAATGTGAGTAAAATGACTATTTTGATTATAGCATAGATCCTAGTTAACAATAATGAATTGAGTAGAACATTAAAGATGGTTAATGTCAAAAAGACTCTGTTACTAGCTATATCAGATTTTTGTTAACTTATAACGACTATTGCATAAGTGATTGTGATTACGTAAGAGACGTAGAGATAACATTTCTGATTGCAATGCTAAGAAATGAAGATTAATATATATAGAAGAATTTCCTAATTATGTTAAACGTCTTGATACACATAATCAACGGATGAGTATTAGTTAACATAAAAAAGACCGGTAATTTCTTGTCGATTACAAGCGATGAGTATTTAGTTAAGACAGTGTATACAAATATATACAAATAACATAGAAAAATGTAACTTTTCAATTTTTTCTCTCTATTACCTGATGTAAAGCATACTTGTGTATAACCCATACTTCTAGCTTTGTTTACATTGGCATTGGATGCATCAAACACTGATGGAGCGATCATAACAAATGTTGGTAGGGCGACGGAAGCAGCAGCCAAAGCAATGGCCACTGCCAAAATTATGAAACCTGCAATTATCCAACTTCGTGTATAATTTAAAGCCTTGAAATCATAGTCTTCTTCAGTTGCAAATTCTGAATTGTCTTTAAATTTCATATCTATGAAAACATAAATACAATTAATCTCATATATTAAACCATTTATATTAATTTAAGTGAAATATTTCAGTTTTACATTGTGTCAAATGACTTCTTGCCATTTTAAATAAAATAACATTGAACTAATTTAGTCATTTTGATTTGATTTCGAAAGCAATTAAGTTTCACAGATAGGAAATTTCTCACAGATTGAGACCAATTCATATCATAGATATTAGCTGTCTCTTTTTGCTAACAGATTGTTTCAATGACTTATTGAATTTCGACGACGTCATAGATCGTCTAGCATAACTTCAGGAAATAATCCAGTCGTATCAAAAGTGAATAATGAAAAAAATTCTGATGCGTTATTTCATTCCAACTAAACTGTTCATGATTATGTGGGTTAAATATCAATTATCATGAAATTTCTAAAGATGCCATTAGGGTAAACATTACTTACTCGAGAAACAATCAGTTGTTTGATTTCTGTTCTGGGACTAAGTTCAATGTCCAATAACCAACAATTTAATTAAACCGCAATGTTTCGTATGACAAATCTAGTTTGTTGATACTAAATACTATGTTCGGCTATGTTTACATGAAGACCACATTTTAAGTGTATATCTTAGAGCCTATAAATCTCATCTTATTCATAAACGTTAGATAATTGTTTGTATATTTACGTAAATTTCAAAATTATCATGAAACTGGACACTTTTGATGAATGATAAACTTCTCAGTTCTTATAATCATAGTTAACTTTCTAATAAAATTTAATGTAATTCTGAAACTAACCACACAAAAATTACTCAACCGCAAACATTCTGTCTAACGTTAAACCAATCAAACGGCTGAAACTCATTTTAATTAGAATCCATTTAAACAATTTAATGGTAAGTTTGATCACTTCAATGTCACTGATTTGAGTATTCAAAGGTGACTGTTTGAAAATCGAACTCCAAACGAATAAGAAATGAATACAATTATCGTCTTTTTTTCCAAGAAACTCACTTATAGTGGTTATCTGTTCATTGATTTAATAATAAGTGTATCAACGAACTGATAAAAATGTAAATTAGGTTTCTTCTAGGCATTGTATAAGTTTCACAATTTATTAATCACTGGGCGGTGATCAATGTCATGGACGGTAGCATTCGATCTAGATTAAGAAGGACTTGACACATATGACATTGATCACCACCTAGTGATCAATCAATTGTGAATACATCTCAGTCCTACAGGAGGTTGGTCACTGCCCAGATAGCCCAGTGGTAACGTCTCTGATTGTGAATCTGGGTGACACTGGATCGAATCTGTCAGGCAGCACCAGTTTCCTCAAGATTACAGGTACACCTTACTGACGAGTGCCAACTAGCACGAAACCCGGGTCCAGGGTTTCCTGTTGACTACCTCCAACCACCATCTAATTGCTTAAGTTTTGTGGTTACATACTATAGTACAATATGTTAGTAATATACTTCACTAGCTTTCACCCAAGTCAAGGTTCCAAATAGTTCTACTTTACAAATTTATTATTTATTTCTTTACATCTTATAAGTTTCTTTCAATGTTCTAACTAATTTACCACTATCTTATTCTTATTACAATATTATGAATTTCCAAAAAAGCCGGATAATTTGTACTAGCTTTAAGAAGTATTCATAATATCAAGAAAATCAATAAAATTTCTCATCTGAAATTCTAAAAAAAAAATAAATCAATATAACCAAAAGTTTGGATGATTACAAATTTTAGTACACATTAATTGATTAATGGGATCTCTATTTTTAATATAAAATCAATATGAATAGAAATACATCTTTTATATATATATATATATATATATATATATATATATATATATATATATATATATATATATAATTCTCACGAAATATTCAATATCCAAGTATTTAAAATTTATTTTGAATCATTTATAGTTAGTTACTAGAATAGTAACTAAAATGAAAATCAATAAGAGAATATAGAATATTGCATAGATACATTGAATAAGTAAACAATGAATAAACCAGTTACAATATTATAAATATATAATAACTAAAAATTATAATAAGGTCATCATCATCATATATTCACTTATCTCCCTTTTCTTATTTATTGCTGACTCAATAAGAATTAATTACATCATATTTTTTATATTCAATAGTACTCATTTCTTTATTATTATTGAAAACTGTCATAGAATAAGTTGATACATGTAAATTGATCAATGACCTTGGTAACATAACCTTTAAATACATTCAAGGTGATAAATTCCAAATCACTTGATCTTGATGGGAGTGGAATGTGAATGAATGAATGAATGAATGAATCAAATGATCAATTCATTTAAATAATTCAATTCAATATTAAACTACAAATATTTATGATATAATTGTTTATTTACAAAAATGTTAAAAAATATAATTGTAGATATCTATTTTATGTATCTAGTTAATTGATATAGTAGTTGAAACCATAAGTCAATTGAAGCTAGATCACCATGGAAAACCTAGAAGCACTGGACAGCCGTTTCATATTAGTATGGGACTCCTCAGCAGTGCGCCCCTACCTGCGAAATTCGAACTCAGGACCTATCAGTCTCGCGCGCGAGCGCTTAACCATTAGACCACTGAGTCAACATTCAACGGTGTTAATGTCTCATGATTTCAACTACTGAAATTACTAAAATCTTCATAAAAACCCTTCTGACAAACATATGATTGTCAGTTTGGTTGTTGTGAAGATTATTATTGTGATCATGAACTGATAATTATCTAAATGAGGTTGATTCATGATCTCAAAAAGATGATTATCTATATGATCAGCACAGAAGAAAAATTTCAAGTATCTAAATTAAAGAATAGTGTACTCATGTAAACTCAGTAACATTGTCCCATTTTTTAAAAGATTTATCTTTCCATTATCAGTTATATGTTTGATTAGTTTATGTTTGTTTAACTGCTTCAAAAGTTCAAATGTTACATTCAGTTTTAATTTAATGTTATAACATTTTATGAAGGTGTTCATTATGAAGCTGAGAAATCTATTCGACTATAACAAAATAACATAGACTTCTTCTAAATGTAAGTATGAGAACGAAAATTAACAGGTGAAAAAAAGTTCATTTTGTACACTTAAATGATTAGCTATAAATTACCACATGTGTTCTAGTGATCATTTCCATAGGTTAAAAATGAGTGTGAATATGAACGTATTATTATTTCATCAAATGTATCTGTTTATTGCCAAGCATGATCGAAATGTGCTCTTATACAACTATGGAACTTGGAATTTTCATTGAACGTATAGACCTTATTCTAAGTTTTCAATGGCATTTCTGTTCATCATATACAGTTATATTTTACGGAAATGAAGTTTTATATTTTATTACTGAAATCACACTGACATGCTCATATTTATTTATCAACATACCACATATATAACATGAAGCCTTAAGGTAAAATTTATCAGGATTAATTAACTATAGCAATATTAAACCCATTCTTTAATAACGGATATGAATGAATGTTTCGGATAAAATCTTCTTACGTATACAAAAACAAACATTTAATTGATCCTTACTAACATAATTAATAATCCAGTCGAGTTAGTTGTCTACTTTTTAGAGAATGAGTGTATTGAGTAAAGTTTCTCATTTTTACTTTTTCTGTTTATGAGTAAAGTTCTTTAAAGTTGAATACTGGTGAGTCTTCTATTAGTTGAACATAGATTTACTTGAATTCTTACTACTCAGGAAAGTGTAAGACATCAAATAGAGCTGATGGAGGTCAGAACTTTCATTGCTTAAAGTGTGTAGAAATAATGTTTTTCAATTATTATCACCTTTACATAGTTTCATTTATCAGCATTACCATAGATTCATAAAATATCCATAGTATCATGAATTTTTCATTGATTAATTATAAAGTTATCAAGTTTCGCAAATATTTTTCGTAGCAATTATCATCTAGAAACCAATTATTCGTCATCGATTACTATGGGACTGCATCTCCTTACGATGCTCCGCTGCCTTGTGGATCAGACCTTTAGATCGAAGGCTCGGGGTGTGGCCCCCTAAGAAAACCACCTGCTTCGGTTTGAGCACCCGGACAGTATCTCAGCCTTCACACAGATCGAGTGATTTGTGTGGTGCATATCTATTTGCTGTCTCCTTGTACCAATGTTTATGTGTTTGAATAAATAAATTAAAGAGCATAAAACAAGATTTTTGTTTAAAAATAACGTTTGTGTTAAAGGTAAATAAAAATATACTACAGAAATAGAAAATTTTTACTTTCGTCTAATTTCAGCAGAATAAGAAACAGCTAAAATTGAGACCAATATTAAAGCGCTAACCGAAACATTATGCCTAGCTTCAATGTGATATATATATATATATATATATATATATATATATATATATATATATATATATATATTAATGATACTATATTAGTTACTCATTATCATACACATTTTTATGTATATAAGTAAATATTGTTGAGCAACTAATTAAAACTAAACTTTTCCTAATTTAATTAGATTCTTTATTTTCATTCTATTAACTAATGAATATAAATCTGTATTTAAATTATTACTGGTAATAGTTCACTTACTATTTCAGAAACTTTAATATCTACTAAAAGTATAATGATAAACATATAAAAGTTGAAACTATGTCTGATATTTCTAAGATATGTATAACCAATTAGTCTTAAAGGTTATTAAATAATGAAGTGAAATTCATGAAAAGAATTTCAATGCCAAAATAACATCCACTTCTCATACTGATGTTCTTAATATGGTACGTTTTTTTTAAAAAAAAAAGTTGTTTTAAACAATTAATGCTGTTTAACAGTAATTGAAATTGATATCAGAATTTAATTAGACATTCAGTGAAAAATGTATGGTGTTATATAGATATATTCCGCTTTATTATTATTAATGACTTTATTCAATATTATATTTTGGCACAATAAGAAATTCTCAGCACAAGTTATTTCAAGAAGTTTCTTTTGCAAAAAACAAAAACAACTTTTCAAATTAGAGACATATTAAGAATGTGGGTTGTTGACTAGGTTAATTTTAACAACTTGTTCGTCACAGAGTATATTTGCTAGGTGTGGTATTATGGAACTTTTATGCTTTTGCTTGAATGCATGGATTTTAATGTAATTACGTCTCGTTCTACCAGAAGATATACAAGGAGTAAGATAAGAGTGAAGGGGATGGTTAGTATCTGATAAGATAACACTTGCCAGGAGTTTTCTTGACTTTAGATGTCTATTCACAACCATATTAATTATGACCTCGAAAGATATTCACCACATACCTAGCTAACTGGCTTCAACACTCTCCACAATAAAGCAAAGTCTTTTCTCGAAAGCCCGGGAAAGAATAATGGAGAACAGTAAAGAATAATAAGTAATATGCAAGAATTGTAAGAGTAAGTGACGGGTAATCTCAAGAGCATGCAGTTTCTTTATTTAGTAAGTCAGAAGGTAAACCTTCTTCGATAACAATAAAACGTGAGAAGACCAAGAGAGGTCAGAGGAAAAGGTAACGCCAAGATAATTGACCTTCAACACTGTGTTTATCAAAGAGTCACGGATGGCACAAGCATTATGGGATCCCAAGGTGATGTTTAGATGTCTTTCATGTCTCATGCTAAAGTTAACAGCTTGACATTTAGACGGATTAAGTATGAGACCACTACCAACAAACCAAAAATTAATACGAGACAAAAACTCGTTCATTTCTATGGGATGTAAAGAGGTAGAAATCGGCATACATACAGTGAGATCATCCGCATATTTCACAAAAGTGTTTATTGTGTAAGACAGCAGATTATGCAGAAAAAAAGAGAAAAGAAAAGGTGAAGGAATGGCTCCTTGTGGTACACCTCCATGAAAAACGTATAGTGTTACATAGATACATTCCACTTTTTTGATCTTATAATTAATTCATTGGATATAAATAGTTTTGGTAGAATGAAAAAAATATATATCATTTTGGATTTGAAGCAACATTGATAGTAAATTGTAGATAATTCTGTTATTTAAAAATTTTTAGGAATTATTCAATATGGAAGATATATAAATCAAACTATTATTCTTGTATCTATGACGTTAACATAAATTGTGATCCACTGAAATGGATAGTTTTTAAAGAGTTAGTTTTCTGTTAAAACTTAAGTATCATCAATGTTTAGTCATAAATATATTCATAAGAGTTAGTTTATGTAGATACTTTTCATTCAATGAAAGAATAATACCAACTACTTTTCATATATGTTAACTTAACTGAATTAATTATACTTATTTCTAAGAAAATTTTACCTTATGGGATCATTTAAATCAAAATAGAAAATATCATAAACTGATCATTTTTGTTTTATTATCAGTATGGGGATTTGTGAAGATTGTAGCAATTTTAATAGTTCAACACATAAGTCAATCTAAGCTAGATCATCATTTGAAACATGGAAGCACTCAAAGGCCGTTTCGTCTTAGTATATGACTCATTATCAGTGTACATCCATGATCCCGCATGTGAGTAGAGATAGGTATCTACCTCAGACAGTAGGTGAATGGTTGCACAAGATCATAGGTCGACTGAAGTTAGACATTTACACTGTCAGATGCCGACTCAATGGTCTAGAGGCTAAGCATTTACACGCGGGACTGAAGGTGCTGTGTTCGAGTCCCACATGTGGGATCGTGGATGTGCACTGCTTAGGAATCCAATACTATGACGATTTTGTTGTCTAGTACTTCCACTTTTTAATGGTGGTCTAGCTTAGATCGACTCATTTGTTCAACTATTGAAATCTTTGTTGTTATAATCTAAGTTGAATATTATATAATAAAACGTTAGCCTTAAAATATTATGGATAATTTTCGATTGTTTTGATCTCAAGTTACAGTTTATTATCAACAAATCTTGATAAAAGATTATTTACCATTAGTAGTCATCATTCATTATCGCCATTATTATAATTATAAGTAAACTTGTTGATATAATTGTACTAATAGTGAATATTGACTTGCAATGGAATTCACGATAGATATTCTATGCAAATTAGTATTCGCTAAAGAACATTAAATGTGCTTAAAAGTGATCAAGATATTCTATATTCATACGTACATCAATAGTATTAATGTCATCTGATTGAATAGTGGTCATCTGTTTTATTAGATACAAATTTTGACCATATTCCTTCCATATTCTGAATCAATTACCCTATTTTTAACATCATAAAAAGTAATAGACCTTCAGTTTTATGCATAGTTGTAGAAAATAGGCTCTTAACCGCATAAAATATCATGAAGGTAAACGTAGAAATTATAAACAAAACAATGTACTGAAACAAATGATTCATAGTCCTATCGCCTTATCACTGAAGTCAATCGGATAATTCTGATTACATTTTGCGCATTAACAACGAATTCAGGTATTAATTTTCGATCTAATCATAAGTTAGTTGATCAAATGATCCAGACGTTGAACTTAGCAGCAGAGCTAAGTTAAAAAAATGATCCGGAATAAATCATCCATCTTTTTTCCTGGTGTATTTGATCTTTTCTTATGGATAGTGTATCATGGCTAAAATAACTCAATGACAACAAACAATTATCGTTTCGTTTATCAGTATCTCTGAGACTAAATCAGTTCTCTACTAATTCAGATATATATGAATGACTATTACCTTGAAATTTAATTTATTGAAGACTTTAATTCATAATCTTGAACGATTAAATTATAAAATGATATGACTTTATCAAAATATTCTCAAGTTGAAATAAACTATGCCATTAGAATTAGTACTTTCTTAAAGTAATGAATTTACTGGCTTATTTGTAACATCACAATAAAGTTTATAATAAATAATAAAAACAAATGATATTCATATTCATAAGATTTTTTAGATTTACGCTAAACATTACTCTCATTAACTGACATAACTTAATAACTGATAAATTATTCATTTAAAGTTCATGATCAAATGATCATCGACATATTACATCAATGTTATTTCAGATTTGGGGATAATTCAAAGAATATAAATGATAAATTATCTATGATACATAACTATTGATTTGTTCATTGGTTCTTTATTGTTGGTTTATGTTCTTTATTAGTATTGATTAACAAGAAAATTGAAAACCTGATCTTATTCCGATTTTAGCACATAAATTTAATGTGGCTGGAAATTCAGTGAGTTTTTCATTTTTTTTTATGTGACACCAACATGGTTTAGTAGAAAACCAGATTTCAGTACTCTTAAACGATTCTATAATGATGTTTCTCACATGCTGTTCATTTTGTAATCTCAAAAGACAGGTTAACTTATACCTTTATATTGGTGAGACATTAATGTATCATGATGATGTGAAGTTTTTTTAAATGACCGTAAGCTATTTATAATTTCAATTGTTGATATCATGAGTCAATTGAAGCTAAACCACCATGGAAAACCCGAGAGAACTGAACAGCTGTTTCTTCCTATTGTGGGACTCCTCAGCAGTGCGTAACCACGCCCCCGCCTCTCGGGATTCGAACCCAGGACCTACTGGTCTCGCGCGCGAGCATTCAAACAATAAACTACCGAGCCGGATAGGTAAGCAGATTAAATACTAACTAAATTCGCATTCTACATCTTTCCACACTGTGTTATGGTACTTGAAAAAATTTACTTAATAACCCTTGATGGAAAATATTGTGAAATGAAAGTGATTTCAAGTAATAGTTTTTGAAATAAGTCGGAATCTTAATTAATTACCACAGATGCTTGTCCGATATGCTTGAAAGTTATTTGGTTAGTAATCATTCATTTTCTATATTCATTAAATAAATAGATGTATTTAGTGTTTCATCTTTAAGATTAAAAATCAGATTACTGTTTAAAACAAATTAAACAAATTATATGGCTGAGCTCAATTGTGACAGACTTTGATGGGGGTTACCGACATGTTGAACCAGGCCTAAGCTTTCATAGCTTATTAGCACGACAAGCGGAACATAATAATAAAAATTACAAAAGTTATCGAAATAATTTATTAAATGATGAGAAAGACTCAACGTTCGTTGTACTAGTTACGATCATTAGCTAAAACAAGAGTGAGATCCTATAATGGAGATAGTTGTTTATCTCTCTAGACTTGTATCAATTCATAACAAATAATCATCTAAAGATTTAAATAATACGTTTTAATATACACAATATAGTTTTATCCTTAGAATCAATTTGATTTCAAATTACTATAGATATAAACCAATTGAAAGAAACACAAGGTAAATGAAGGAAATAAATACTCACTAAGTAATTTCAATCAAATTTGTATATATATTTCTCTCAATGTAATCAATAATCCTTAATACTGCTTGATAATGTTACTACTTTTGATAACAACAAATGTTCAATAACCTTAATATTTGGTTATCTGAACTATCATTTATACACGTCTGAAATTATTCGCTATATATGTATAGGAGTAGTTATGTAAGTTGACTTTTATGGTATATATATACTTATTTACGTATAATTTCATACGTATATACTACTCAAGATACTATGACCCCCTACACATACTCAGACACATGCATATATGTATACATACAAATACACAGTTATGACTATATATATATAGTGATTTTAATTAACATTTTTAAAATTCTGTACATTCCTAATTTTTGTAATAGTTTAACCATTCCTTCGGCAATCTTAACCTTGAAAATGAAATGAAACAAAGATTAAGAACAACTACTTAACTACAAAAAAAATTTTGTTTGCAAAAGTCTATAAAATGAACTTGTTTATTTTGTCTTTAGTAGTACTAAGATCAGGTCAATTTTCATATGTAGTAAAATGAATAAAACCAATAGCTCTTATGATGTGGTTCATGGTAATTTTTTTGTTTTACAGGAAACCGTGATATTTTAGTCTTCGTGATGATTTACACTAGTCAGTTATGCTCATTGTAGGATTTGAATTTGTATCACTTACTTTCATTATTTGAAATGCAACGACTGAGCTATTGTTTCCATTAAACTCCCTTTAATTTAAGAACTATCAATAATTTCACTTCGTTTTGGATGCATTTATTTAAATCCATTTTTGAACTTTTTTGTTCATAACATTGTTCTCAAAGATTTTGGTTTCACTTTGCTTTTGACTTGACATTTTAGAAGTTTGGCTCTGGAAACTTAGAAATTAAAGGTTTACTTTATAGTTGTTATAATTATTATTAGAGCGATATATCTGGATTGATTACCTGTAGTTTATGAATAAACTTTGGTACCTTAATTGTAAATTTGGTTCAATTGTTATTTGGAGTCGTAAATTACGAGTGGATCAATCGACCGTGCTTCATTAATAATATTGCGGCTTTTGTAATGTGTAGTAGGCTAACATACAACAAGCTTGCCATCTGATGTCATCGTAATAATGAATTTGTCTTAAAGGTATATTTTGAAGTCCAACTCCACTGGCTTCCATTGCGATGAATGAGAAAATAAGGAAACTTTCAGGCTTTGTTCTTCGTAGTTTCTTTAAAAATGAATCTGAAATAATTCTTTACGACATATATGTAAGACCTACCGTTGAATACTGCTCGTTCTTACTTTCTAGCGTACATCTATACGATATACTGAGAGTGGAAGGAACACAACGGGATTTAACCCGCAAAATAATTAAGACTGACTCACTCATTGACTACAGCTCTCGATGCCATATTCTAGGGCTCGGACCCCTATGGAAAAAGGCTTAGGTCCAATTTTGTTCTCTACTTCAAACCTTTCAAAAACCTTAATTGCTCCACATGTAATATAGTTCTTGTCCAAATCTCACATGAATACTGCGTTCGAGACATAGTATGTACGGCCGAAGTAAAAAAATACAGATCAAAAACTCCGGAAGACTTCTTTCTCATCAAGGGTGCATTAATATGCAACAATTTTCCCTCTGAAATACACATGGCAGACAGATTACATACATTTGTAAGTCTTATTGATCAAGCCCTCACTTGCACGGATCTGGCACGACCGAACACATCTGCGTCTCACTCAGACATCAAAGGCCACCTCATTGTATAGACCAAATTAGACTATAGGTTCACTTTCCCCTACCTTTCTTCGTAGCTGCTGTATTGAATATGTTTCTCTTTTTAATTTTTACTTGAAGTAGACAGGTAACTCACTTTACCTCTGGATGCTGCTCAACTATAGTCGATTGCTTAGGGATGTTCACTAATACCTTAAAAAATGTCAAGAGGACTGCATAATCGACCATTCACTACCAGTCTTCTTGCATCTATGGAGCCTGTAACCTACCACACGGTTGGAATAGCACAAGATGACATCAGCACCAAGTTGATATGGGTTCCTTCTTGTCTTTTTTCATCAACTTTCTACTCTCACGAACACTGTGTTGGCTTATCAACAATAAAATAATAAACACAGCTATATGTTATGTAGCTAAATATCGACAAAAATGCAATGATTCGAGAATCCATCCTTCCAAGAGGACTCCGGTGCTGGCATCTTTTACAACCTGGAATACAGTTCTTTTTGATTAGTGTGATCCATTTCTCGGCAAATATCTCTCAGCTGTTATACTCGATTTTTTATAAGTGGCCTGATCTATGCTTGATGCAAAATGTTTTGCTAAAATTCATCGGAAATGACTTCAATCACATTGTTCCTGCAAATTTCGACAGAACAGAAAGAGCAGTGGACATTCCTACTACAGTACAGAAATGCGATGGGGGCCCTTAAAAATAAATGAAAGATCGTATTTTGATTGTGTGTAAGATGAAAGTGATTTTTAGATATCCACAGAAATTGTAATGAACAATGTTGAAGAATCTAAGATGCGAATTGTAGATGCCACTGATTTTAGTTGGCGACGTCGACATATTGGTCGACTGTAATTACAGAAACCTGGTGAATTCGGTCGTTCGGTGGAGTGAATATTAATGTATTGTAGATAATACTAAGTCATGCAGAGTTTCGATGAATCAACCAAGAAGACGCACAGAGGAGCACAGGCATTTTAAATTTCATCTAACCCTAGGTGGTTTTGTTACATATGCTATCTAGTCATTGCTTTGTATGTCACTCTACTTTTGGTTTAAATTACAAAGTACGATGCCTTTGTGTGTTCTTACATATTTCTCTTTGAAATGAATGCTAGTCAACTCGTGATTACGCGGGCGTGCATTAGACAGCGCTGTGAATTACTATTTATTATAAGATGTTAGATTAATTATTAATGTCATATTTTGACACCCGATAACAATGCTGATACCAAAGAAGTTTTGTTTCGGTCTTTGGATAAGTTAGAATTATTGTATTTTAGTGAGTTTCGAAGATAAACTCACTTATCAGTGTTTGGGTCATTTAGGCACTCAAGTATCAGTCGGTACCTTTGATGAATCAGGTGAACTACTATTGACAACTTGGAATGCGGAATCATGGTTCAGGTACTAAAAAGGTTTTCATTTCACCACAGATATCTGGCCTCCTTATTGTTGCAGAGAACAATGACAAAAATAAACTCAAACAATTAAATGGAACGGGAAACTCAGCTTTTTTATTGTTCTCCGCATTAATTGTCAGCGGTAAAATATTCATCTTAGTTGTTTCGCGGATACTGACACTGTCCGAAAGTCGCGTTTTATACGATCTTATTGCTGTAACATAATCGTTTGATATTACACAACACTGTCTTCTGATAGCATCTATTCTAATTACGTACTGTACCAACAGAATCTATAAGACTTTCACTGCGGTAATCACTGCATGATATCTATCCGACAGCCAGCGTCATCGGCCTTTTATGGATGATTCTAGACAGAACCTTGTGCGCTCAAAAAACCGTACACAATAATTAACATTCCAGTCGGCTAAATAGAAGACAAAAAGCAATCCCAACTCTAAAATTTAAAAAACAACCAAACACAAGGATGATATCTGTATAGTGATCCTTGCAAAAATAGAGATTATTACTTGAAAACGTTTGCCTTAAAATACACTAAACTAGGTAACACTGTTGAGTAATAATAATTATCACTTGCTATCAAATAATAATACGTTACACGATGCATGCCAAATTACAGGCAAGACCAGTGTTACAATTGACACAGAATTAGCCGCAACAAGTTACTCATTTAGGTTGGTATGCTGCAAGACACGTCGATCATAGTGATAGGGTTATAAAAAACGTACATAAGAATATAAATGATGCTATTAAAACTTGAATGTTCAGTGTGAAAGTCAGCTCACTGAGTGGAAGCTGCGTTACGGCTAAAACATCAGGATCAATAATTAAAGTACGGTCTAGAGGTGTCTATAGCAGGATGTATTGTGAACAGCACAAAAGCAGTAATTTACAAATGTCGACTTTAGCGTCTAGCTCTGTACTGCTTCCTAAGTTCAATAGTTTTCCGACAAGTACAAATGTAAATGTTTATGAAGTATCCAAGATATTGATTGGGGTGTAGAACGAAGTCATTTGTCGAATATATGTGATGCTGTTTGACAATTCCCAGTGGGGTCGGAAGAGAAAAGTACGAGAATAGAGTAGACAATATTCACAGCAGGTGAAACAAGAGACTAAAGTGTTTGAAGGTATATTTGTAAAGATACCATCATGTCAAGAAGCGTTTGGCTTAAGCTGGTTAATGGTTGCAAAGAATGCATAGTATAATGTATACACTCGTGAACTGGTACGGATGGGTGAACGGTCGCCTTCAGCTGGATTGTGTCTAGTGAAACTGATGAGGTTAGCATCAAATGTTTACGACTTACAGAGCCATTGAACCACTATTTCCTGCTGCAGAACTCTTCCATAATACTGGAGCAGTGATGACTGCAAGACCTGGCCATTAGGGACTTTAAATTCAACGAGTTTTTCGTTGCTAAATACACTCCCGTTGGCTTAAAATGTTCAGCAGTGTCTGGTCATCTTTGCATACTAAAAGGAGCCTGTGGTACAATATATTAATGAAAAAAGGGTACAATGAAAATCTTGATTCATCGTAATCTTTGTCGTCTTTTCGTCTTTCCAGCTGTACCGGAAAAGAAATAAAAGAAATTGTAAGTGCGTGTAGAATTACACCTGTACGTGCGTAATGACACAAAACGGACGAAAAAAGAAACATAAACTAACATACATGATTTTCTTAAGCATGCCATAGCCTAAAAACTATTTTTACAAAATGATTTTTTAGGCTTTTTGAAAAAATAAACACACGTAAAAAACAACAAAAAAAACAGCAAAAAATATTTCGCTTTTCGGAACCAAAACAATAAGTATATATGTGAACATATTAAAATAGCTTTTTTTGTTTATCTTCCAAAAAATAATGCAGAAGATTCGAGTAAAACGAAAGAGATTGCCAACAAATACATCTGGACTACAGCCATCAACTGCCTTCTGATATTTGGCCTACGGGGGATCTTGTCGTGTAACTAG